TTCAGAAATCATTCTAATATGCTGATTTGCTGTAGATTATTATCAATATTTAAAACAGTGGAGTACATTTTTTTCAGGATTCTTTGATGAATAGAAAGATCCAAAGAGCAGCATTTATCTGAAATAAAAAGCTTTGGTAACAGCTTTTTTTTTGAGGGGGTGGAGGGGGGGGTGGATTATAGAAATTAATACTTTTATTTAGCAAGGATGCTTTAAAGTGATAAAGTGATGATAAATCAATTTTAAATGTTACAAAAGACTTATTTTCAGATAAATGCTGTTCTTCTGAACTTTCTATTCATCAAAGAATTCTATATTTTCAACATAATAACAAATGTTTCTTGAGCAGCAAATCAGCATATTAGAATGATTTCTGAAGATCATGTGACACTGAAGACTGGAGTAATGATGCTGAAAATACAGCTGCGCATCACAGAAATAAATTACATTTTAAAATGCATTCAAATAGAAAATGATTAGTTTAAATAGAAAAAATATTTCAAAATATTTTCAAAATGTAAAATTCTTTTGCTGTATTTTGCATCAAATAAATGCAGGCTTGGTGAGCAGAAGATAATACTTAAAAAAAAAAAAAAAACATTAAAAGTCTTACTGTTCAAAAACTGTTGACTGGTAGTGTAAGTTAGTGTGGTATCAACTGTTTCTGATAAACTTGACCCTAAAAGGCACATTAAAACACAATGAACTGTGACTGATCGCTTTCTGTGTCAATCAGATGGTCTAGGTGGGCGGTTCTTAACCAGGATGACCTTAATTGTGAGCCAGACACACACACACACACACACACACACACACACACACAGAGTCAGGCATTATTCAGGATCTCGCACATGAATGCATGTCTAGATTTGTTTTGTATTTTTCTCTGCTCTTCAGCGATGGAGAAATATGTCTGTTCAAAACACTTCAACACAGCACACACCTTTTGATGTTGTATAATGAGATCAGTCTATTATTTATCCTGACTACAATGAAAGACTCATTTATCACAGACTAAATTCTTTTGACTAAATTCTAAGGCACAGTTGACAACCACATAATGAACTGCAACAAGCTCAGTAAAAGCAATCCGTCCTGGATGGCATACAGCATTATTATTTTAAATATTTGTACATTATTTTTCAAATTAGCTTTTTTTTATTCGTTTTTTTTAATATTACTAATTAGGTTTAATTTATTTTTTACATTTAATTTGTTAGTTTAATCTTATTTGTTTCCAGTTAGAATTTTTAAGGGTTCAATTTAAACTTATTTCAGTTAGTTGCCAATGCAGTTTTCATTAAATTTTCATTTAATTTAAGTTTTTCATTGAATATGTGTTCTTTTTTAATAAATCTGCATAAATGTCAACAATTCTGTGTTTTTCTGTCAATATGGGGTGCTGTGTGTACATTAATGAGGAAAAAAAATTAACTTAAATGATTTTAGCAAATGGCTGCAATATAACAAAGAGTGAAAAATTTAAGGGGGTCTGAATACTTTCCGTACCCACTGTATATGTATTTTTAATTTCACCTTCATTTCAAATAACAGAATTGTTTTTGGATCGTTTTTAGTTAACGGTAATAACACTGAGCAGACAATAAGTAATATATACTTGTCATTTGCTTAATACCAGAACTAAATCATAAAACAAAATAAACTTAGTTAAAAAGTGACCATATTAAAAATACTTGTAATTCACTTAATACCAGATCTTAATGATAAACAAGTTGGACTGAATTAAAAATTGACCATATTACCTAATTAAATGTACTTATAATTCACTTAATTTCAGACCTTAATGATATAACAAATTAAAAACGAATTAAATATTGACCATATTACGTAATTTAAATACACTTGTAATTTAATACCAGAAATTAATGATAAAACAAATTAAATCAAGTTAAACATTTACATATGATGCGATTTAAATTTTTACTTCAATTGTGTTCAAAGAAGAGTGTAGTTAGCCTTTTTCATTATTTAAAGGGGTCATATGATGCGATTTAAATTTTTCCTTTCTCTTTGGAGTGTTACAAGCTCTTGGTGCATAAAGAAGATCTGTTAAGTTGCAAAGACTAAAGTCTCAAATCCAAAGAGATATTCTTTATAAAAGTTAAGAGTCAGCCGCGCCTACCTAAAACGGCTCGTTCTAACACGCCCCCACATATCTACATCACTATGTGGGAAGATTTGCATAACGCCGCCCAAATGTTCACGCAAAGAAAGAAGGCGTAACTTTTATTCTCGCTGTAGTATTGTTGCCGCCACCGCCATGTCGTGAAGGCGCTGTGTTTCGTTGTGAAAGCGAAGCTAATTTGTTTGGTCTTCCAAAAGAGGATGATATCTGCTTCGTCATGCCTGGAGCTGATCCGTGCTGGTCGCTGAGGAAATACATCAACTTCACTGTGGATCACCGGATCGGCTTTCACCGTGGACGAAGAGGAGTCCAGCCCGGGGTCGTCACATGTGGTTGCTGCAAGCCTCCGCTCACTCAAGCTGCCGGCTCTTTTGGAAGGACATGACTAGAAATCAGTGGTTAAGTTGTATTTACAACACTGTTCCAGAGCAGTTCAACCCAAATATTCAGATGTGTGCAGCACATTTTATGGAGGACTGTTTACTGATCCTGGGAGAGTAGTCTACAATGGCGGCTGTTCTGACTCACAGACTGTAAGTACGTTTTCATTTTAAGGATTTGCCACTGATGATTCAAACGCGAATTTTGAGCAGTGTAGAGTAGCACTTGTTGTTTGTTTATAATGGGTTTTAATGTTTTTGTCTCGTCGTGCCGGACACGGCATCACAATATGGTAAGGGGCGTAACATTTCCGTCACACGCTTGAGGAATTCGGCCAGTCACAACGCACTGGATAGCTGGCCAATCACAGCACACCTCACTTTTTCAGACCGATGAGCTTTGTAAAAATCAACGCGTTTCAGAAAGGCGGGGCATAGAGGAGAAACAATAATGTACAGTATGTGGAAAATAATGTGTTTTTTTAACCTTAAACCACATAAACACATTTCATTACACCAAATACACAAAAGAATGTTCTTTTTAGCAGCATCATATGACCCCTTTAATGATAAAACAAATTAAATCAAGTTAAACATTTACGATATTACCTAATTAAACATACTTAATGATAAAACAAATGTAATCAAATAAAAAAAATGACCGTATTACCTAATTAAATATACTTGTAATACACTTAAGAATAGAACGTGATGATTAACACATTAAATAGAATTAAAAATGTACCATATTACCTAATTAAATTTACACCTTAATCCAGATATTAATGATAAAATAAATTGAATCAAGTTAAAAATTGGCCTTTTAACTAATGTGTGTGTGCTGTGTATTTTTTATCCTTATCAGATTATTGTTAATTGAAAAAAAATCATCATGCCTGCATCATTTTGACATCATATCAGGTCACCGTCAATGTCGTCACTTTCGTTTAGCGAACCATGAATTCTTTAGTTTTCTTTACAGCGATCAGATGTGCTCATTGGTCTGATTTAAAGATTCATGAACTGTCACATTGAATGATCTTTGTTTTCCTGTTGCATAACATCTGCTATTTTTAATATTTTACTATTGTGGGCTAAAAGCATGTCTGTCTTTTTCTATAGACCTGTCAGCATTTCTCCATTTCTGTCTTACTACTCTCGTGTTGCTCATGTTTGTGTGTGTTTGTGTTCTGTCGGAGATTCTGTGGTCCATTTCAGTGAAATCAGTTCAGAAATTAAGCTCAAATTCTAATAATGAATTGATTGTGTGTGCTGAAGAGAATCGGAAGAGATTTCAGGTTATTTCTTTATAATCAGATGTTAATTCGGTTCACTTTTCCAAAGTGAATCAAGTGATTCATGTTCTTTCCCCCAAAAGAATCAAAAGTGAATTATGTTCTTTTTCTAAAGAGAATCAGGAGTCAGTTCAGATCACTTCCCAAAAGAATGTGTAAACTCGCTTCACTTCCTGAACAGAATTCAAAAAGAATTAAACTCTTTTTTTTCTGAAGAGAATCGAAAGTGACTTGTTCTTTTCCTGAAGAGATTTAGAAGTGAATTGGGTTATTTTTTGGGAGCGAATCAGAAGTGAATTTGGGTCATTTCAAAAAGCGTATCAGATGTAAATTCACGTCACTTCGTGAACAATTAGAAGTTCATCACGTTTTTATTATAATAAGATTCAGAAGCATGTGAAGTACATTTTTCTGAAGAGAATCAAACATGACTTTAGCTCTTTTCCTGAGGTGAATAATAAGTGAACTAAGGTTGTTTTCTGGAAGAGAATCAGAAGTGAATCCAGATCATTTCCCAAATAGCATCAGAAGTAAATAATCATATCTTCCTGAACAGAATTAAAAGGGTTTTTTTAAGCGAATCCAAAGTGAAGTCTGTTCTTTTCCTGAAGTGGATCAGAAGTCAATTCAGATAATTTCCCAAAGAGCATCAGAAATAAATAAACATCAGTTCCTGAACTGAGTTAAGTTTTTTTATTAAGTCTTTTAATTTGTAAAAAGAATCAGAAGTGAATTTAGTTTACTTTGGATCTGAATAGAATCTAAAGTGACGAGTTCTTTTGCTAAAAAAAAAAAAAAGAGAGAAAAGTGAATTGGGTTAGTTTCCTTAAGGGAATCAAACATGAATTCAGATCACTTCACAAAGAGCATCAGAAGTAAATTCACTTTACTTCCTAAATGGAACTAGAAGTGAATTAAGTTCTTTAAACGAAGACAATTTTGAGGGGAATTCATTTGCTGTGGATCTAAAGTACTTTAAGTTTGTTTCCTCAAGAGAATTAAAGTAAACTGGTCTATTTTTCTGAAGAGAATTAAATTTGAGCTGAATTGATGCGGTTTTCTGAACTGAACTGAAATGAAACGGATTCTAACCTTTGTATGTGTTGTCTTTGTGTATATCTGTGTTTGTTTGTTTGTCTCCGAGAGTTAAATGCACTAACCTGTCCGAGTTGTGACCAGTAACAGACAGCAATCGCCTCACAGACTTGTACCGGAAGGAAGAGGTCATAATGGTCAAGAGCGGAGGTCACATCCAGAGCCCGCGCTTCCCCAACTCATACCCCCGCAACCTGCTGTTGTCATGGAAACTGCTCTCGCCGCCCCACACGCGCATCCTGCTGGAATTCGATGCTCAGTTTGGACTGGAGGAGGCAGAGAATGGAGTCTGCAGGTGAGGGCGGAGCTTTAGAATGGAGGAGTGCATGAATAATGAATTGGATGCGTTTAAACATTTTTGAAGTGAAAGTGGAGAATGGAATTTTCAGGTAAGACGGCTTCGGCTGGATGAGTTCATGAATAATGAGTTGAATCTATTTAAGAGTTTTAAGTGGACGACAAAAATGTTTTCAGGTGAAGGTGTTAAGTATGTGAATAATAAATGAGATCTATTTGAGAGTTTAAGTGGAGGCGGAGAATGGAGTTTTCCTGTGAGGGCGGAGATTTGGATGGATGAGTTCATGAATAATAAATTAGATCTATGTAAATGTTTTAAGTGGAGGAGGAGAATGGAGTCTGCAGGTGAGGGCGGAGCTTCAGGGTGAACGAGTTCATGAATAATGAATTTGAGTTAAGCTGAGGTGGAGAATGGAGTTTTCAGGTGAGGGCGGAGCTTCAGATAGTTGATTTCATGAGTAATGAATTAGATTTGTTTACAGGTTTTAAGCAGAGGCAGAGAATGGGGTGGAGCTTCGGATGGAAGCGTTTATGAATAATGAATTAGATCTATTTAAACTGTTGAAAAAGTGTCATTTTTGACTCTTTGGCTTGGTCTGTATGGTAAATATTTAACAGTTTAACAAGCATCAAAACCTAAAGCCCTTTACATAGCTATAAATCTGATTAATTCATAGGAACGTTGATCTAGGAGCTCCAGGCGCATGTCCTACATGGTTAAATCATGTTGTAACACGTGGGAGAGAATAACAGGTTTGGTTCTCATTCTGCATTTCTGGACTAGAAATAAAGGCCTGAAGAGTTAAAACATGATACGAATATTTAATGAGCAGAAAGCCAATCAGAGCGAGGATCTGAGCGCAGTGTGTGTGGAGTGACTCTCAGGTTACAGGTTTGTCCTTGAGGTTAGAGGTTTTACTGTGAATCTGATACATTATAAAGACCCTCGAGACATCGAGACTAAAAATAAAGCAGGAAAAACAGATGAGAGATGAGGTGAATTTATAGGATGAGAAATAGGCAAGAAGTGAAACAAGGACAGAAAAGAAACTTAATGTATTATATACAATGAACAAACTTATAAACGCAACACTTTTGTTTTTGCCCCCATTTTTCATGAGCTGAACTCTAAGATTCAAAAGATCTAAGACTTTTTCTATGTACACAAAAGGCCTATTTCTCTCAAATATTGTTCACAAATCTGTCTAAATCTGTGTTAGTGAGCACTTCTCCTTTGCTGAGATAATCCATCCACCTCACAGGTGTGGAATATCAAGATGCTGATTAGACAGCATGATTATTGCACAGGTGTGCCTAAGGCTGGCCATAATAAAACGCCACTCTAAAATGTGCAGTTTTATCACACGGCACAATGCCACAGATGTCACAAATTTTGAGGGAGCGTGCAATTGGCATGCTGACTGCAGGAATGTCCACCAGAGCTGTTGCCCGTGAATTGAATGTTCATTTCTCTATCATAAGCCATCTCCAATGGCGTTTCAGAGAATTTGGCAGTACATCCAACCGGCCTCACAACCGCAGACCACGTGTAACCACACCAGCCCAAGACTTCCACATCCAGTATCTCCATTGTTGTGCCATTCATCCACGACCATCACCTCATGTTGCAGCATGATAATGCATGGCCCCATGTTGCAAGGATCTGTACACAATTCCTGGAATCTGGAAACATCCCAGTTCTTGCATGGCCAGCATACTCACCGGACATTTCACCCATTGAGCATTGTTTGGGATGCTCTGGATCGGCGTATACGACAGCGTGTTCCAGTTCCTGCCAATATCCAGCAACTCGGCACAGCCATTGAAGAGGAGTGGACCAACATTCCACAGGCCACAATCAACCTGATCAACTCTATGCGAAGGAGATGTGTTGCACTGCGTGAGGCAAATGGTGGTCACACCAGATACTGACGGGTTTTCGGACCCCCCAATACAGTAAAACTGCACATTTTAGAGTGGCCTTTTATTGTGGCCAGCCTTAGGCACACCTGTGCAATAATCATGCTGTCTAATCAGCATCTTGATATGCCACACCTGTGAGGTGGATGGATTATCTCGGCAAAGGAGAAGTGCTCACTAACACAGATTTAGACAGATTTGTGAACCATATTTGAGAGAAATAGGCCTTTTGTGTACATAGAAAAAGTCTTAGATCTTTGAATTCAGCTCATGAAAAATGGGGGCAAAAACAAAAGTGTTGTGTTTATAATTTTGTTCAGTATATTTTTCTGTGTAAAATCGAATAATTTATATGATATAGATAAAAGCATGATGTCACGTCACATTACCAATTACTGCATTGCTGATTATGGTTTCGTGTATTACTGTATGTACCCTGTGCCAGCACTGTTATTATAAACTAAAACTATAAATCATTCTTGTTAATTTATATAAAGCTGAAATAATAGAAAATATAAATAGAATTAGATGAAGAACTAATTTAATTAGAATAAATTAGAAATGTTGCATTGGCAAACTATGTAATAAAAATAAATGAAAGCTAAAAAGTAAAATACAAAAAACGAATAAAACTTACAATTGCTAAAACTTAAAGTAAAATTATGCAGATAACTGAAAATATGCAGATAACAGCTCATTGAAAATACTAATAGATACTATAATAGCATATAAAGAATACTAAAATAACATAAACATTTCTAATTGTGATGGCCAAATCACTACAGATGTTATTTTTATCTAATCAACTGTATTTGAGGAACAGAAACAATGCATTTTTAAAGTGGCCCTGCAGATCTACTTGATCAGGTGTTTATGTTTATGCAGGTATGATTATGTGGAAGTGGAGGATATTTCTGAAACCAGCACCATCATCTGGGGCCGCTGGTGCGGACAAAGAGCTCCATCACGGATCTCATCCAAAACAAACCTCATCAAAATCACCTTCAAATCGGATGATTACTTCGTAGCAAAACCAGGATTCAAAATCTGCTATTCACTGCTGGTGAGTTTCACTTCTGTTTGCATTATGGCAGATTATTTTTGAAAGAAATTAATACTTTTGTTCAGCAAGGATGCATTAAACTGATCAGTAAAGACATTTATAATGTTACAAAAGATTTCTATTTCAAATAAATGCTGTTCTTTTGAAATTTCCTTTTCATCTGTGAATCCTGAAAACTACAATGCATCTCAGTTTCCACAAAAATATTGGGCAGCACATCTATTTTCAACATTGATAATAATCAGAAATGTTTCTTGAGCAGCAAATCAGCATATTAGAATGATTTCTGAAGATCATGTGACACTGAAGACTGGAGGAATGATACTGAAAATTCAGCTTTGATTCAAAGGAATAAATTATATTTTAAATGATATTCAAATAGAAAAGTTATTTGAAATTATAATAATATTTCACAATATTACTGTTTTTATTGTAGTTTTGATTAAATAAATGCTGCCTTGGTGAGCAGAAGAGAACACATCTTAAGCCTTAAAGTAATATATTATATTACACACAAAAAATCATGATGTAAAATTAATAGTTGGTCTTGAACAAGAACTGTCCGTTTCATATCAGGTTTATTTTACTGTAGCTGTTGTGCACACGCTGAAAAGCGGATGCTATTATATGGTGGAACGAAAGCAGATGGTGTGAGAAATATTTTATAACATTTATTGGGACTGAAGCCATCCTGCTTTGACTACTCATGGCTTTTTTTTCTCCACACAGGCCAAAACGGCGATAATCTGGTGCTAGCTGCTAGCATTAATATGCAATATGTTTTCTGGGAGTGTAAAACTGTAAATTTGTACGTTTCCTTCAGAGCTTTGGGAAACAGAATGAAAACAGACACCTGCACTGAACATAAATGTGATGAAACTTCATTTTAAGCATTTTAACTGGGTTTTGTGCAAAACTCGCAATGCTGAGGAGCTGTGGATGGTTTCCAAGGTGTTGCTATGCAGTTGCTAGGGTGTTCTGGGTGGTTACTAGGTGGCTGCTTCTTAAAGTAACGGCTTCTTACCTGAAATGCTTTTTTACCTTAGATGAACTTACAAAAGTTTGGCTTAAGACATTTGTTTATGAGCCAGAATGAGACCGACAAAGAGAGGTGTGAGCGACAGTACAAGAAAGTGAGAGACCGTGAGACTGAAGTGAACGTGTGAGTGCGTTACTGCGGTAAAAACACTGATGTAATGCGGAAAGATCCACCCTGTCTTAATCGAGTTGTCTGAGTTTAGTTCTGTCTTTATCGCATGTACATGGAGAAGCTCTATAATGAGAAATGACAGCTAAAAACATGTCTTAAAATAAAATAAAAAGCAGAATCGCACACATTAAAAGAATAGTTCACCCAAAAATTAAAATGTACGTAAAAATTTGCTCACCCTCAGGCCATCAGAGATGTAGATGAGTTTGTTTCATTTTTAGCAAATGTTTATTTTTGAGTGAACTTCTCCTTTAAGGCTGTTGGTGTCTGTTAATGGCACAAACAGATGCGGAGAGTTTCTCTTCAGGAAGATGTGTTTGTTTCATAGGCCTTCTGTAAGCGTTGTTTCATGTTCTTGTAAAATATGGTCCAGTTTCCAACGGTGATGTTTGTTCACCTTTTCTTTTGGGATTAGTGGATGTTTGTTGATCATAATTGTGCCTTTTTGTTCAAGGTCTTTAACTATAATTAGAGAATTTTCCTTGAATGTTTTTAAGATTTGCATCTTTGATGTTCATTGTCATAAACTAATGATGCATGAGGGGTTTTAGATTATATTTGTTTATTTGTATTCTGCAGAAGGCATGTTGACCTAAATTAAGGTCATTTTAGCCATGAAGTGAATTCGATATTCATGATCTTTTAGAAAATCCATGTCATAATTATATATCATTCTGCTGTTTTAAAGTGCTATTTAACTTAATTATCTAACCTAAAGTTCATGTAAAGTTAAATATTTAACAACTGATGCATTGAATAATGTATTAACATATTTCTGAGTGAGACTGAATATGCAGTAGAATATGTTGCTTTAACATTGAATTTTGTTTGTGGAATTTCTGTAGTTTATTGTAGAGAAATTATGGTTACACTTTATTTTAAAGTGTCCTTGTTACAGTGTAATTATACATTTAAGTACTGAGTAATATTAAGTAACTACATGTACTTGCTATATGGTTATGGTTAGGATTTGGCTTATGGTTACTTGCATGTAATTATGCATAATTAAGTGTTATTATAATAGTAAGTATATGTAACGTGTAACAAGGACACCTTAAAATAAAGTGTTACCAAAATTATATGTATATATAAATTGCATGTATATTAGTGTAACAGGTTTTGTGGTTGGTAACATTATTGTCTGAACAAACGGAACAAAGTCTCTTACTAAGGCTGCATTTATTTGATCAAAAATACAGTAAATACAGTAATTTTGTGAAATATAATTGCAATTTAAAGTAATTTTTTTTTTCTATTTTAGATAAAAAATATATATCTCAATAATGGCCTTTTCATGCATTTTCTGCTATTATATATATATTTTTCTCCACCTTCTTAGCCATGGTTATGTCAGCAGAAATGTAGTTTCAAAGGTAGAGCAAGTTCTTATATTTTGATGAAAGATTATTTTTTCTTTCAAAACAACATGCACTGATGAATCCTGCACAGTAAGACCAAGAACATGTTTAGAAGGTAACCGAGTCACATGGTTGAACCCTGCAGCTGCTGGACTTCAGGTTCAGGGGCAGTTTGTTCGTTCTGATCCGTCATGTGTAATTCCCTGAACCTGCGGTATTCCTGACATTTCCACATTCCTGCTCTGCTCCGGACGTTTCTGTAGGACACGAGCTGTGTGTGTGTGTGTGTGTGTGTGTGTGAGACATCAGAGGCCATAGAGATGTGATCTCTGATGGGAAACATCATCATAACAGACCGCCCGCAACCTCTGACCTCCGTCTATTGTTTGCATTGCCGCAGGAGCAGATTTATGTAACGAGAGTGGCAGCAAAGGGAACTGTATTTTCATAGCATATGGAGGTTTTAAAGGGGTCATAGCCTTTACGGCCGGTTTTAAATGCCAGCGCTGTGATGTCTGTAGCTCCGCCTCCTCGGCCGGTGACATCATGAGTGATGGTGTTTGTGTTGCTGATTGCTGCTGCGCGGCAGGAATGTTTACAGTCAGGATTTATCAGCGCAGATAATGACTTTCCCAGATTTCCCTCACCGCTGATGTAGAATACGTACATTCCTGTGAAAAATTTATGAAACTGACAACAAAAGTTTGAAATCTCTGTCTGTTTTTCAGGACCGCTCACCTCTCGCGTCTCTGACCAACTGGGAAGCAGTTACAGTGATGTCAGTAAGTATTACACACTTCTAGATGATGAAACATGGTCTTTTTAATTGAATTTCAGTGTTGAAGAAGCTGTTTTGACCTTGTTTCTTCAATAAATCCCAAATGGAGACATTTAGCAGAATGTTCCCACTGCTCTGGCGCTTGCAGTGAGACAGAGCAGATCACACACACACATACACAAACACACACTACTACTGACCACGTGCTTTCCACACCGACCACAAACACAAGCGTGAGTCTCTCTCACACACACACACACACACACACACTGCTACAGACCACAAGCTTTCCACACCGACCACAAACACAAGCGTAAATATATTTATATATAATATAAAATATAATACTATAAATGTATATTCATATAAATATTTTCAAAATATATATACTGTATGTGTGTGTCTCAAACACAGTACACATACATATATTATGTAAACAAAAACTTTTATTTTGGATGTGATTAATCGTTTGACAGCACTACATATTATTCTTAAGGTATTAGTATAAAATAAAGCTAAAATAAAACAAATGTTCTTGAATTCACTTTCATTCTTGTGCTTAAATTCAAATTTGTATCACTGTGTTCTATTCACATCCTGTTCAGGAATTGAATTTTAAAGGCATTCAGTTCTGCATGACACACACACAGCGCAGAGACAGGCACAGTTATCCATTCACTTTCAGTTTTTATGAGGCAGACGGAGGTGATTTCCTCCCGTCTCTTCATTTATACCTCCCTTCCTCTCTGTCCATCCAGAACAGATTGTGATTATGTGAGTCATAAGTGAGAAAAAAATCCAAAACAACACACTGGAATGTTCTTCACAAAGTACAAACACACACACACTGATCTTGTGGCGCTGATAAAGTTGAAACATTGTATGTTTAAATGACTTTACATTAGAGAGTGTGTTTGTTAGGTTTTATATGTCTGCTTGTTTTTACTGGGAGCAGGATGTAGTTTGATGGTCTCTATGGTTGTAGTAAACCCGTCCATCTCGCTCTTTCCCTCTCAGTTGATCTCGACCGTCTCTATGACGACGTGAAGCAGTACAGCTGTACTCCGCGCAATTTCTCGGTCAATCTCCGCGAGGAGCTGAAGGCGACCAACACCGTGTTTTTCCCACGATGCCTCCTGGTGCAGCGCTGCGGGGGAAACTGCGCCTGCGGCACTGACAACTGGAACTCCTGCAGCTGCAGCGCCGGAAAAATCGTCAAGAAACTACACGAGGTATCCCACAATGCACTTTGATGAATAACTGTTTTCAAACAGGTTTCCAAACACTCCCTCCATCTGCCATTGGTCAGTCAGACAGATAGTCCCGCCCCCAGACTCACTCCATTGGTTGATAAAATTCACAAATCAAGTACTCAGGTATTTGATACCCTAATAAAATTATGCTCTTGTAAAAGCACTAGCTAGTACTCCTTTTCCATTTTACTTGAGTAATAGTCAGTGGTGGACAGTAACGAAGTAGTTTAACTTCGTTACTGTACTTAAGTAAATTTTTCAAGTATCTGTACTTTAGTGGAGTAGTTTTATTTTGAATAACTTTTACTTTTACTTCACTACATTCCAAAGCATAAGATCATACTTTTTACTTCACTACATTTCATAAAACTTATCGTTACTCCTCATAATATATCACGTGCTCCGAGACGCAGAAGCGGTGTCTGATTCATGAACGAACTGACTCTTTTCAATGAATCCATTAAATCGGTTCGCAAATCGCACCAAACGATTCATTGACGAATTGGAATGATCCGATTGCAGCTGTTCTCGAGTCGACAGCTCACGGATTCAAATTAACCATTTAGTGCGAGTCTCCAGTGAACTGAATTCAAAAATAAGAACCGGGAGATCTTCTGATGCTGCTATAAGTAAGTTACTAATGTCGCAATAATGTTAGCTGATGCTAGCTGTCTAGCTAACGAGCTTGCTGGTGCTAAATTGAGGTAATTATTAAAAGATAAAGTCCAAATATTTTTATTCAACCACCTGGATGGATTACCTCTTGGGGAAAAGAAAGGATGTGATGTTCAGAACATGGTAACTACAGTAATTCTCAAAGTGGGAAGTGATGCCCTCTGGGGGCATTTGGCCTGGGGTGTTTTTTTAAGTACATAAATCAAGTACTTTTGTACTTTCACTCGAGTAAAATTAAAAACTGAGTACTTTTACTGGAGTAATACTTTTACCCCCCCCGGCTCAAGAAAAACTAAATTACGGTTTTGGAGTGGCCAAATCAAAGTCCAGACTTAAATCCGATTGAAATGTTTAAACAGCGATGTGAAAGACTGATTGCCAGTTATCGCAAACGCTCGATTGCAGTTGTTGCTGCAAAGTGTGGCACAACCAGTTATTAGATTTAGGGGGCAATTACTTTTTCACGTAAGGCCAGGCAGGTTTGGACAGTTTTTTTCCCTTAATAAAATAAATAATAATTTAAAAACTGCATTTTGTATTTACTTGCATTATCTTTGTGTAATATTAAAATT